TCTACTTTATACGATCATATGGTTAACTCATTTTTGCAAAAAATGCCATAAGCCGTGTTTTAGTTTGACGCACCCCAAGTAATCTTACTATTCAAATGTATTTTTAAAGCAACTCGATCATTAATCGAGTATTTCCAGAATATGTACTTTGTATATGTTTAGGCAAACTCGTATAACTGTACTTATAAAATTTATAGCAAATTATTATAAAAGAGTTTTATTAAGTTTCCAAAAACTGTTTCCTCAAAACATGTAAAAAAAACTATTATATTTTGAAGAGAAATCATTTTATTTTTTTCTGAAATTTTGTTGTAAGATAGCTTTTAAAACTATTAAAGTATTTTTAGTAGGATTATTATTGCAAGCAAAATTTTGATGGCATGCCAATAATTAATATAGTAATTTGATGGCACATTAATTTTCAATTTTTTTTAGCAAAAAATCTATGTCCTTCAATATAGGAATGATTTTGATTACACTGTCTATCGAAATCATCTATTAATTCTTGATAATCTTTTTGAGATATTCCCATATAGTCCGGCATATAAGTAGCAGATTTATAACATTGTTTAACAGCATCTAATGTCTAAGAATAATTTAATTAGATAACGAAAGTTAATTTTAAAAATATGTAATATAAATGCTAGAGCTTACGTATTCATAATATCTTCCTGCCCATTCACCCAATGATATATCCAATTTTAAGTGTTTAATATTAGTCAATTCATTGGTTGATTTAAAATATTTAGAGATCTCTAAAAATATCATAGGATCAAACCCATTTTCCTTTAACTTTGTGTGAACTATAATACAATATAATTAATTCTTTAAAATAAGTAAATTTTACTTTTATTATGTTCATGTAACTTACAGGTATTTTGAACGGCTTTCATAGAATTTCCTAGGTTTTTCATACTTAAATTAGGTTCAAAAATTTCAATCCATCCACTGCATTTCGTTACGCGTATTATCTCATGAATTATATTTATATATTGTTGCTTAGTAAGCGCTGACCACATTACTTTCATATGAACATAATCAAAAGTCTCATCAGGGAATGGAACACCGGTTGTTAAGTCATGTTCCAAAAATCCCGTATTGGGTGGGCGTTCGTTCACTGATGGAAATCCACTTGATTGAATGTCTATGCCGACAAATGTTGAATTTGGGAAATCGTTTCCTAAATCGAGAATCCAATAGCCCGACTTGCATCTATTAAGTAAATGAAATATTACTAATTCACTTACTATTCTAGGGTGCACGAAATGAATTAATAGCTTCGAGTTTGTGACTTTACGTACCCAACGTCGAGAACAGTAGCTTTACCATTTTTTAGCTTTTCTTCAACTGGTGCGCTAAAATTTCCTTTCCACGCATATCTGTTTAACACATGAGCGATTTCCAGTCGTCTAAGCTCCATTTCATCTGATGGCATAACGGAATTTCCTTCATGAGTATTTAGGAATTTCCTTCCGCCAATTATTTTATACTGGTCCAATAGTATTGAAGATACTTCATTTACATCTAATTCATCATAATTTTTATATCGACTAAAAATATTTCTTTTAGAATCATTCTTTTCTTTATTGGAATTAGACATTTTATTATTAAGCAAGTGAAATTAATTTTCAAAAGAAATTCAATTAAATGGATTACAAGTTTTAAAGTTTTTAAACGTACTATGTATTGTAAAAAAATAAAATAAAATAAAATAAATAAAAAAAGACTATTTATTACAATTAGAGCCGAAGATTAGTATAGTATGCATTTAGTTACGTAAAAAAAATATAATGTTTACATAATGATTATTAATTATTACCCATGTTGATCTTTAGAAAACTCTGGTTAGCTAATTGACTATACCGGTATTTTCTAGGTTAACACAACCCAAAAAAGGAAATTGAATTTTTTAAGTAAAAAAATAGATGATTAGGATCAGAACATTGCATTAGAGGTTACAGAGATAGATTATACTTATTATATATAAAATTCGTTGCTGACATTTTTAATTAGTGCAGTAAAGTCGATTTTTAACCATTATTTTTTTAAGTATTTTTGTTTTTTTTCTCATTGAAGAAATTCAATTCTGTATGTGCAATATGCAGATATGCGTATTCTGTATGTACAACATGCAGATATGCGTGTGCAAAATATATAAAATATGCAGTATGCGCACATGATATCATTTGTACAATCAAATAGTATGTGCGCTTTACGCATTTTAAATTTCAAACATGAATTTTTACACTTTTCCCCTTGTTTCGCTTTCCTTTTTAGGAGTACCAGAAACGGAGTGATATGTAAATATCACAAAGCATATGGTTATATACAAATTAATGATGTTACTCCACAAAATCTTATCGCCTATTGGATGATTAATTGAACACATTAGAGATGTGAATGCAGATTTTGTTTTTCACGCCAGTCGCTATCATATATTTGCTTAACCTATTGTAGCTAGATTTGTTTTAGTTTTTGATTGTACGTACTGTGGTTTCGGGTTAACTCCCCGAAGTCCATTTTTCTGAAATACCATTTCACAGAAATTATAATAGGACATAATAGGATCCGTGTCATTTTGCCAACCATCAATTCACATTAGCAAGCACGTTTTTATATAGATCTATGTAAAATTTTTATGTAAAACTATGTAGAATTTTTATTGAATCTTATAAATACTTTATAAACCCAATGTAGATTTACATAGTTATTTATATAAATTTGTATATATTTCTATATAAAACTATGTTAAATTGCAAAAAAAATTTTGAATTAAATATTAAAGCTAGAAATAAATTTTAGAGTTTAAATTAGAAATTTGGAAAAGATTTTCGAGCATGCTGAGCATTTTTACCTAGTGCATCGAGCGGTGATTACGTTAGTCACTTTTAAGAAACAGCTAGATTAAATTATTTTTATGTAGATAAAAATAAAATTTATATAAATTTTATGTTTATACTAGATGTAAGACTCGTTAAACAATGGATTAGAATTAATAAAATTAAACCCTGTTCGGAAAATGAACTCAACTCGAAGCAATTTAAAAACATTTTAATAAGGGTAGAATAGTATGCTCATTAACCTCGCAACCAAAATTCAACAGCTTGACCAAAATTCAAGGTAAGCATTGATAAAGTTATCTAAGTACCATTGGATTTTAATAATAAAGTGTGGCCTATGTATTAAATAATTTGCTCAAAACTTACTTTTACCATAATATGATTTGCTAGTATTATTACTTAATTAGGGTAGTTGGCAAGTTGGCAATGTGAGCTTTGTTTTGACTCGTCAACTTGCCAACCACCCTATACTTTAATGCCAGCCTCACACAGCCATATTCAAACCTTAAATTTGGTAGCTCTGCTGAATTTGGTTGTGCGACTAATCTCGCTAGCACGACTTATGTGACCGGGTAAAATCACACCAAAGAAGGTTTCAAAAATCATGTGATATTGTCATCATGATTAGGATCATGACAATAATTTTTAGTAAAATATTAAATGATTCAGTAAGTGTTTTTTTCTTCGATTCTTCAAAATGAAAGCAATCGTTGCAATCTCGACAAACAAAGTGATTCTTTTAAAAGCAATCAACACAATATTCTAAAAATATATATTACTAAACGAAAATCGAAATAAAATTATAAAAACTAATCAAGAAAATGCAATTGCACCATAAACCTTGTAAATTTTATTTTTATTGCTTTTCTGAAAGCTATAACACTGATTATTTTGCTTGAGCAAAAAGTTTTATAATTCTGAATCCGGGACGTAAAAAATTATTGAAGAAAACATAATCAATCTAAATAGTAACAAACGGTTCGATAGTATAGGTCAGTGTTGGCCGATGACCTTAAATGACCTATATGACCTTTATGACCTGTCATAGGTCATCTAGTTATAACGAATGTCGATATGACTTTATGACCTTTTAATATAATAATATTCATAGTAAAATTTTTTTACTAATATTTGATATGACGGATATGATTTATGACCAAAGTCATATGATTATATGACCAATAGGGTTGTAAACTTACTGTATAAGTTTTAATTTTTTGATGTAAGGGACGCGACAAAAATCAGGTGATTTTTTTGGGGGTAAAAAATTTAAAATTATATATAAAGACCTGATCAAAATATATAGTAAGAGGGGGAGGGGGGTAAGCTCTGATAAAAAAAAATCAGGTGATAAATGATACTGCCCTAAGTTATAAACATGTAACTTACATGTAAGTATGTAAGTTAACTAATATATAGTTATTTTTAATAATTTGATTATAGTAAGCTATTGATTAATATAAATCAAATCTGATTGGTTCATAAAATATAATAACTTACAAACTTACCATACATTATAAACTTTAGATATAACTTATATATAATTTACATGTAAGGTAAGTATGTAAGTTACAATCTTTACAATCCTAATGACCAAGGTCATATCAAAAAATGTTTGACCTATGTTATTGGCCAACATTGCTAGTTAAAATTATAGAATTAGTCGATCAAACAACTACCGGTTTTGACCTCTAATTTTAACGCACCCTACAATTTCATAATTTCTAGGGATATGGCTGATGTGCATATTTAATAAAAATAGTACTAGTGCGATGGGTAGCGCTTCACACCATATTATTATTAGTATATTCAAAAAACAAAAAATATTAAAATAACAAATAATATATCTATTTTTTTTATATTATTAATAAAAAAAAGACTGTTAATCTTTAGTAAATTATTAATTATAATTAATAAAGATTATTATCTATTTTGATTTTTCTAGATATTATATAAATAAGCTAATCTATAGTAGTTAATATAATATAATATAGATATATTAATATTAAACTTCTTTTATTTTTTTATTATAATTAACAATAATAATAAATCAAGACTTATATATCAAATATTAGTTAGCAATAAGATATTATAAATATATATATAAATTTTAAGTTGTATTAATAAAGTTACAAATAAATTATCTATTAAATTATTTACAAATTTAAACTTTGTATTAAATACTACATCGAGAAATTTTATAAGGGGATATATATCGATTATTAACCAGGAGGATATATATCGATGCCAATCACCCCTGTGGGGTTCT